ATACGGAACAAGTGGAACCAAGAGGATCAAAATTCGGAACTGGTAACTCCAGGATTTATATAGAGCAAACGAAAGCAAGAGAAGCGGAATCTGAATCTGACGACTCTGAGATTTATTCGGCTATAGAACCAATGAAACTAAGACTTAAACATCGATCTGGTAACTCTAGGATTCGTATGGATGCAAAGCAAATGAAGCCAACAAAATCGAGATTTGAATTTGATGATTCTGGAAAATATGAGAATATAGAACAGTTAAATCTAAAAAGTGAATCTGCACCTGTTGGATACAGGAAATATTTGAAGGTATGGTTCAAATATTTTCATATAAAAAGAAAAATTATGTAAAACTTTTAATGCAATCATTGACTGTAATGGTATGGTATGGGATATTGCTATTTTATTTTTTTATTTCCTATAATAAATGATATTCAATCCTTAAAATGATAGTGCATTCATAGTGGACAGTATCCTTGCAGTAAATGAGAGTCATATTTGATAAAAAGACGTTAATATATGTGATCTATTAGCGACGACATACTCTTATAACCGTGCTTACTTCGAGTCAATTAAATAATTTATTTACAGGTTTCCGACAAATTGCATATGGACGGACCAGCACACAATATTTCGGTATCACGCCATGCTAGTAGTCCGACCTCCAGTGGAACTTTTCGAAATTTATTTTGCTGTGTGAAATAGCAACTAAATCGACTTCAAAGTGTTAATTTAGATTATTTAAATGTAATTAGTTCGAGTTTTTTATCTATAGATTGCAATTTTGTTGATATATTGTTGATATAGTTTTCGGTTAAAATTTTATTTAAAAGAATTTCACAAGCTGATGGAAAAAAAACTACTAATTAGTCGGATAATATTAAACACATGTAAAAAATGGCAATTCAAATTCAAATTTTAACTTTGCATTGAAGAGTCTCAATTTGATATAGAATTTGTCGAAAAAAAATATATGAGAAAGTTACTTAAAAACATTGTGGCTCATTATGGCCATCATTTCGAGCCAAATATTTGATTTAATACTCAAATTCTGAGTATTCTAGTAATACCATTAATTACTGAATTAGATATTTATGATCCGAAAGAAGATGCAAAGCGTAACTGGAAAGTAACCGGAAAAAATTATAGACATAAGTAGTAGGCTCATTGTCCACAGAATGGTCAATTCCCGTTCACAAAACATTCGTCAGTTATGCGATATCTTTAATAGCTTAGAACCATCAAAAATTTATTCTTCGATTTCCGTCTTTCATTTGTGTTTTGTAAAACCAAAGGCCTCAAAGGTTTATAATATGGCGATTTCACTTTTTTATATTTAATAATGACTTTCTTCAAAAATAATAATGACGCAAATTTCAATAAACGAAGTCTTTTCCTTTTTTGGAATTTTTTTCATTTCACTGCTCATCTTCTGAATGCTCTGAATCCACATCTTCGCCATCAGAATCATCATCACTTGAAGTATCACTTGGCGCACTTCCTACAGGTGCAAAAAACTCAGCACCAAATCGTCCAAGCTTAAAAATGACCTTTCACTGTGATCCATGAGCATCGTTGACATTTACACACACTTACTGGCTTTGAATCAAAAAGAATTCAATAATCTATCGAGAAGAAAAAGTTGAAATGTGGAACAAATTTTACATTACATACCCTAAATTTAGCACCAACTTCTTTCTTCTCTTCTACTCCAACTTTACTTATCACCTTTGAACTTATTTCCACTCCTTTCTCCGTCTTTCGCACTGCATCTGTTTAGTGAAAATATAATGCTAA